AACTTGGCACAAATGTCTATCTCATAACAACATTCTGTCGCGTCCAGGAACCACGTCCCTTCTTTAAAGGTTAAGGTCACACTTATATTTTGAAGGTTCACGCTATCGCAATAAGAGGTTACAGGTACAATAATACTAAGAACAATTTTAAGTAATTAGTTACTTTCATTCTCTTTTCGTTTCATAATACCTGCATGCTTAAAAAACCTTTTTGGGGGCATTCGTCACTTGGGTGACATTTCTTGTTTTTATTTCTAAAAAAAGATTTTTAGTGTCCTGTTATAGTTTCAGAAAAAGTTACACATTAGCCAATTCCTTGAACCATTTGTTGCTTGTTGGCAATTAGAACAGTTATAATGATTTAGTATTTTGAATGGAAGTCAAAGTACTACTTTGTTTACATTTTGATACTTACGAGGGTTGTCCCAAAAGTCTGTGACAAATTTTATAGCCGGTTCATTTTTAACGCCAATAGAAAATAATTCACACATATAACCGTTAAGTTTATTATTTAACATTACAACAAATCATTTACAAAAAATTTACCCTAGTTACTTAGAAATTTTCAGTATTAACGACATTGGTTTGAGTTGCCGGCGCACGTCAAATAATTTACATTTTGTTATGAATAGGCTGAAATTAATTACGTATATTTCAAATATCTGATAATGTGTCTGCACAATGTCACGTTGACTTCCTCTGCTGCTATGTTTAAATCATCTCTGAAAATTTTAGTTAAATAACTTAAAAAACGAAAAAGATACGAATAAATGAAAATATCTCATATAAAATAGGAAAGTTAAAATGGCGACATTCGACGAATTTGCGGCGCAGTGAACATGTCACTCAGGTTTCATGACTATTTCGAGATGACACATGTAACGATTTCCAACAAACATACCAAATATAACAGTTTAGCAACATATTCTGAGCATTTGTGTACAAAAGGCATGAACGGAACCAGATTTTTGTGCTACAAAAAGCGAAAATAAGGAAAACACGGATAGGAAGACCGATCTTCGTCGCCTATTTCCTACAGCTAAAAACAGGAGTAACGAGACCAGAAGTTAGCGTATAGCAAAAATTAATGTATGCCATCCAAACATTCAACAGACATTAACAATCACATTATTTAAGTCAGAAATTGACGATTTATGGGTAACATTATTGCGTTGAAAGCCATTGAGAGTATTTGAGAAAGGCGCCTTATATAGATTTAACGCCGTCTTTGACGTTGGACGTGCGCCGCTATTCAGTTAGTTGCCATGGTGTTTATGGCATATTTTTGTTGTTTGTTGATATTTATCTATGAAAATTTGTGAAAATGTTTAAATTATATGGGTTTATAACATATTAAAATATCAAATTCGTACCTGTTTTATTTAGCTTTTAATCAATCTTGTCACAGAATATTGGGACAACCCTCGTATATGACAAAAATTTCTTCATTCAGCTATACTTTCTTTAAGTGAAAAGCATCAAACAATCTTTAAACCATTCTTGAAAAGTTATAAAACTGATGTTTAACAGATTTAGGGAAAGGGAAAAATATTCATTTCTGGGGCATAACACAATTGTTTTATGGGTGACACATACTGTTACATAGCTAAAATTTACATAATGCTTTAACAGGTTTGTTTGTATAAAAGGCTTGTCACCTATGTACTAATCTGTTTGAGAAAATACATTTGATATTATCTCATTAATTAGGAAGATCGATTATTTTAGGATGTGCCTTAATCTGATATATTACTTAGTTTTTTTGTTTTAAAAATGGGAAAGATTGATTGTAAAACAAAAATATTTCTGGATTCCATTGTGCTACCTGTTCAGTGTGTTGTATATGATAATTTATTTAAGTTATGGCAGTTGGCCGTCCTCAGGCTACTGCCGTGTACAAGGTAGCGGAATATGCTAGACGGTTTGGTGTACCGGTGATAGCAGATGGTGGTATCTCAACAGTTGGTCATCTCAATAAAGCTTTATCACTTGGTGCTTCCACAGGTTTGTACATAGTTATTAAATACATCTTTAAATAAAGGCTCTTTACAAATGTTAAAGAGCTGCTTATTTTTCAGACAGGGAAAATTTACATCTATTTGGCAAGTAAGACCTTGACTTCTCAACTCCCTAAGATATTAAGATGACTTCTAGACCCCTTGACTCTTAGACCCCTTTTTACATGACTTTTCGACCCTAGTCTAGTGGGTAAGACATTTCGACCCCTATATCAATTTTTGTACTTGAGAAGGCCAGTATGATATTTCAAGAAGTAATTTAAGGCAGATAGCAAATATTTTAATTATTTTCATTACAAGATTCAACAAAATTTTGAAAAAAGGGAAAAAGAAATAAAAAACAATTGTTTTTAATTAGTTAATTGTTTTGTTACAAAGCATTATAATATACATTGTACAATCATGTTTTTTAAAGCTGGGGCATAATTTATTAATTTAGGTCTCGGTAAAGTAAAGGAATTATAATAATAATGATAATGCATGATTTGTGCATTGCATGTTTATTCATATCCACAGTTTCTATTAATTTGTAAAGATTTAGAGTATTTTTTCCGTGTGGAACACATGTATCTTATATTGGCGATGCATATTATTATATACATGTCTACTTAAACAATGTTATACATGTATATTAAATAAACTTGTCTGTAGTTCGAAGTTTCAAGTTCAAGTTTTTTATGGCATTTACATTATGAAAAAGAAACTGAAATAGCAATTGATCATTTATCAATTGCTTGTGATTTGTTCATGTTATTTCGAGAATTATATTTAATAACAACAATGTATATTAAGATTATGTAGTATTGTAGTTATATAGAGTGGGAAAAAAAATCATATAGTCTCATCTATTTCTTATATTGTAATTTTAACATAAAAAGTAAAGTTAATTTTCATAATCCTTTTTTAAATTGTTTGCATCTTATATTTCATATATACACATTTTTTCTCTCATAATTTGAATGTAGTACGAGCGTATTGCCTCCAGATGCTTCAAAAGTAATATTTTCATCAACAAACCTAATTATGAACAAATCTTGATTTTCTTTCATATCTTCGAGTCAATATATGTTTCTCTAAATCTCTTTGTCTAAATCTTGGTAAGAATATGCTTGCCAAAAAAACATCAGTCGCGTGTCGATGATTGAATTATTGGTAATTAACACCTGTGGAAAACACCCTGTAAATTATACATTGTTGTTGTGCTAAATAAACAGTAGCTGCATTTTATTATTAACGGGGTAGGTTACATTACTAATAGCGCATTTTGTTTAGTTATTATGCCCCCATTTCGAAGAAAAGGGGGTATATTGCTTTGCACTTGTCGGTCCGTCGGTCTGTCGGTCCGTCGGTCCGTAGACCAAATGGTTTCCGAGTGATAACTAAAGAACCCTTAGGCCTAGGAACTTCAAACTTGGTATGGTGATTGGTCATGACCAGTAGATGACCCCTATTGATTTTGGGGTCAAGGGGTCAAAGGTCAAGGTCACATTGACCTTGTAAGCAAAAACAGTTTCCGATCAATAACTAAAGAACCTTAAGGCCTAGGAACTTCAAACTTGCTATGGTGATTGGTCATGATCAGTAGATGACCCCTATTGATTTTGGGGTCAAGGGGTCAAAGGTCAAGGTCACATTGACCTCTTGGGTAAAAACAGTTTCCGATCAATAACAAAAGAACCCTTAGGCCAAGGAACTTCAAACTTGGTATGGTGATTGGTTATGACCAGCAGATGACCCCTATTGATTTTGGGGTTAAGGGGTCAAAGGTCAAGGTCACATTGACCTTGTAGGTAAGAATGGTTTCCGATCAATAACGAAAGAACCCTTAGGCCTAGGGACTTCAAACTTGATATGGTGATTGGTCATGATCAGTAGATGACCCCTATTGATTTTGGGGTCAAGGGGTCAAAGGTCAAGGTCACATTGACCTCGTAGGTAAAAAGGGTTTCTGATCAATAACTAAAGAACGCTTCGGCCTAGGAACTTCAAACTTGGCATGGTGATTGGTCATGACCAGCAGATGACCCCTATTGATTTTGGGGTCAAAGGTCAAGGTCAAATTGACCTTGTATGTTAAAACAGTTTCCGATCAATAATAAAAGAACCCTTAGGCCTAGGAACTTCAAACTTGGCATGGTGATTGGTCATGACCAGCAGATGACCCCTATTGATTTTGGGGTCAAGGGGTCAAAGGTCAAGGTCACATTGACCTTGTAGGTAAAAACAGTTTCTGATCAATTTAAAAAAAAAAGGTTAGGCCTAGGAACTTCAACTTTGTATGATGATTGATCGTGACCAGCAGATGACCCCTATTGAGTTTTGGGTCAAGGGGTCAAAGGTCAAGGTCATGACCAGTAGATACTTGATAACCCTTATTAATTGTTTGATCACTGGGTCAGAAGTCATGCATAATAACCTTATCACATGACTAATTGGCTGCTGATAGGGGGCATACATGTTTTACAAACATATCTTGTTTTACTACCTTTTCCAAATACTTATATTAAAGTTCACATAAATTATAGATATATGTCCGGCTCATGAAAGAGACAGTTCTTTTCTAACTACAATCAATTATTGCTACAAGTTATTTAAAATCTGTATTTGAATGATGCATGCTCTTGCCTACACTGTAATGTGGTAAATATTGCTTTATGTGTTTATTACATCATAATAGTGTTACTTTAAAAATGGGATATTGTGTACACAGATATGATGTAAGATATTCAGTTTCTGATAGTCATCAAACTATATTATTTATTTCATGTATAACAATAACACACACATGTATTTTCATAAAAAAAAAGTATTCAAATAACCAATAAGTCTCAGATTACCTGATGTTCGAATTCGGTAGAAAAAAACTAACAAGTGTATATGGACAAAAATGACAGCTTTTGCTTACAAAAATATGAATTACAACATGACTTGTAGAAATGTATTTAAATAAAAAAAAAATGTATCCAATGTAAATTGTTATTACTGTAATTTATGAAAATATGTATACATATATACATACATAATATATTTTCTGTTTAAATGTAATGCCAGTGTCTCTGTTATGTTTACATAAAATACTTGACTTGAAGAATGATTATAAATAACAAATAAATGCAGATAATGTTTTCACTTTTAATTCAATATATCTAATAAATTAAACATATATGAATCAAACTTGTAAAAGAACCTCATTTTTTTTTCTGAATTAATGTCTCCATTCACATTTTTTTTTTTCTGAAATAACATCTTAATGTACATTAGAGAATAAGGGGTCGAAATGTCCAGTAAATTTAAGAGGTCTTAGGGGTCTAAGTGTCCTGGGTTGAGATGTCTTTGGTGTCTAGTGGTCGAGGTGTCAAGGGGTTGAGATGTCACAGAGTTTTGACCCAGACATGCCTTAAAGGCATTTGTATGTTCATAATTATTCTGGCTAAACTGGGCCAGGGGGTGAAGTTACCTTACTTTGAGCCGGGTTTTTTTCACCGCTGCAGGTTTAAATCCTGTTTTGTACATTGAATATTTTCATTGGAGGAAGCTTGTCAAAAGGTGACATCTCATACATGAAATAGTGCAGAGAGGGCTGGTTGTCAAAGCCAATAGGGATAAGGAAGGAAATCTCCATATAATTTTAAAAATTGAATTAGTAATTCAAAATTTTCATTTTCCTATTTCATGATCAACATTTTTTGGCTTTTTGCCTTTTTATCTCTAATTCAAGTAGCAACGTTTCCAAGCATAAATTGTTGTATGTTTTATATTTTAGTTATGATGGGATCAATGTTGGCCGGCACATCTGAGGCCCCAGGAGAATATTTCTTCGCTGATGGTGTCAGATTAAAAAAATACAGAGGTTATGGGTCACTAGATGCCATGGAAAAACATAGAGCTAGCCAGAGTAGATATTTTAGGTAAGAATTATCAATGTGGCTTAATGTGTGATGCAAGCAAGTTTCTATGTAATGTTTGTAAGATCTGCTAAAATTATTCTTGATGTTCATAATCATAGTCTCCAGTTTGTTTTCCCCTACATCTTTTAAATTCTTTTACTTTCTAGAACATTTACAACTTTGTGTGAACATCTACTCGTGAACTTAGGTTTGCCTTTGATGTTTGGCTGTTGTAAGAGCAAAGAGTTTTGGGAGTGTCATGTAAAAAAAAATGGTGAAAAAAGGAAATGTTCAAAACTTTTAACAAATGATGAATTAAGCAATTTTAATCTATCAAGTATAAAAATCAACTAGAAAAGATTGTTCTGATGAATGTTTTCATACAAGTATATTTTATTTTCAGTGAAAGTGACAAGTTGAAGGTTGCACAAGGAGTCTCTGGGTCCATTCAGGATAAAGGATCAATACACAAATTTGTCCCTTATTTAATAGCAGGTGTTCAACATGGCTGTCAGTGACATAGGTTCTAAAAGTCTGTCACATTTAAGGTACATTTGTGGTATCATTATTTTATAGAGCAAAGGAATTAAGCTTAGTATATAACTTAATGTTTAGAAGCAAATTTGGGATTTTGCAAGTTGTAGCTCAATTGTTTCCATCTAGATTTGTTTATGAGAATGCAATACAGTTGCACAAATGTGAAGTTTGTAATGATTCTCTGCTTATTCATGCAATCTTATATTGGTAAAAACTGACAGTTATGTTATAGCACTGTCCACTGAAATGCAATATATAGTATTCTGTATCAAGTTATTGAAATTGATTAATAAATTGATGATAAAACCAAAAATAAAATTATATATGATTTAAGAATACATCTGCAACTTTAAACAAACAGTAATTTCATGGCATATTATACTTTTACTGAATATCACAAAAGGTTTTGATTTAGGCAAATCATATGCTGTTGTATTTTCACGAGTTATCTCCCCTACATGTATTTTTGTGATAAGATTCTTTACAACATCTGCATATAGCAGACAGTTGTTGAATTTACTGACCCGGGAAATAGTAATGACTATTTCAAGTTATAAACATATAAATTAGCTACCACTGAAATGACTATTTTTCATAGTTTTTTAACTTGAGCAGACTTTAAATCAGTTGTCAGATGGACATGACTAAAGAGTACACATATTTTGTCACTTACAGATCTATGATGTATTCAGGAGAGCTGAAGTTTGAAAGGAGAACAACTTCAGCACAGATAGAGGGTGGAGTTCATAATTTACACTCGTAAGTTGATTCTCAAATATGCCCCCTAATTGTTAAGGTTAAATAGAATTGAAAACAGACTTGTTTAATTGCATCTTAAATACAGGGTGACATCTGTCTATAGAAGAAAGTATATAGTAAATAGGTATACAGTCAAAAAAAAGCATTTATAATTTTATTTTCATTTTGTTTGTGTGTCAGATGGGACAGAGGCAGTTATAGTTAAAAGGGCAATATTATTTGGGTGTATTATTATATTATATACATGATGGTATCTGCATGAGTCTTCTGTCTAATACTAGTAATAATATGGAATGACAGTAACATATGCATAGTTAATTTTACTTTTATTATTGTAAATATTTGTAGAAGTTGCATATTATAAACCAGGTTTTCCGAAGGAAAAAACTGGTTATAAGATTGAGGTATGTCGTCGGGCGGGCAGACGGGCCTTAACAAGTTCTTCTCTGCGCAACTTCTCCTACATTTCTAAAGGGATTGTGTTCAAACTTTCACAGAAGCTTTGTCATCAATGGCCCGGATATATATTGTCGGGGTTTTATGCTTGGATATTTTTTTTACTTAATAATGGCTCTGTTTTTTTTTTACATAAAATGTTATTTTTAGTGTAATATCTTTTTAATCACAACAACAACATTTAAACAAACTTTATATAGTTATTGAACAGAAACTATCTAGTTTGTTTTACGGCTGCCAGCTCATCTGCCTGCTTTTCGGTCCCCTAGGGTCAAGGTCACTGTTACTGAAAATAGAAAATTGGTTTCCGGTCAGTAACTATAGTTTTAAATGAAATATTCAATAAAACTTGGTATTTAGCAAGCTTTATGAAGACCTTGCTTTTGAGCCCCAAATGATCAAGGTCACTGTTACTATAAATAGAAAATCAGTTTTCAGTCATTAACTAGAGTTTGGATTGAGATATTTCAATGCAACATGGTATATAGTTAGCTTTATGAACATCTCACTTATTGCTTTTGGGCCCCCTAAGGTCAAGGTCAGTTATTAAAAAATGGAAAATTATTTTCAGGTCAATAATTAGAGTTTGGAAAGAGATATTTCAGTGAAACTTGGTGTAAAGTAAGCTTTTGTGAAGATCTCCTTGGGCCAAAATAAAAAATATGTCTGGTTCAGGGAACCCGACCGACCCTATTTTTTTAACGTCGACCCTAAACTTTTTTTTGATTTTCGGTACGAAAATTTTTGGGTACGAAAATTACAAATGTGAAAATTTTGTTTTACGATGCCTGTCGAAATAGCCGATGAGTAACAATCTTAAAATAGTCAAAAAATATTTAATATTATATGATCAAAATCAACAACAAGTAGAATTGTGAATGTTTCTGCAGGAAACAGACAAATTTTCAATTGTCACATATTTTCGCGATGCCGCTTTTTATAATTAAAAAATCGTAACCAAAAGGAAGATATGTTCTGTTAAAATGTGTGTAATAACACTTAAAATATAGTTTAGGAATTGAATTTACTAAAGATATTGTTTACATTAGTTGAGATGGAGCCATTACCAGTATGTCTTTTGTAACATGTATGAATATTTTCTTTTTAAGGGGGGGGGGGGGGGTAAGAAAACAGCATAATGGTCTGATGATGTATGTTTTTGAAATTATATTTCAAATCTTTTCAATCAATTTTATGGTACAGTGTTTTCCATTTGGGACATATTACCATTTTCCTGAATAAGCTTTTTCTCTGTTCAAACTCTGACTCCCCAACCCCTAACTCTGCTATACATCATATTCTTAACTGCATATAAGTGCAGCAAAGATGGCGTAATATATTCAATGTGATCTGAAACTCCTACTTTTTTGTGCTTTGGAGTCCCAAGACTCCTTCTTTGTGAGAACCCTGCAACTGTTGGTACCAGTTGCACATTTATATCTATAGACTTGTGCCCCCTGAAGACCATTTGAATATGTTTAATATTAAATGTGTTATTTTGGTCCCCGGAATTGTGCATATCAGATGCTCTAAGCTTATAATACAGCATTATTATTAACTTGTTACAGAGGTGACCCTTGATCTCTTAATTGTCAGACCTGTCAGATGCAGGTTAGCATAGAACAGCGGGTTATTCAAAGGGAAAGGGTAGGCCTACATAATAAGCAAGAATAGAAAGCAAATTTGTAAAATTATTTATATGGTTAAATGACTACATACAAGAAATAAACAACACAATATCACATGCTGATAGTTTATTGCAAAATGGTGTTTGCATTGATTGATTACAATCTTTGTTTAAGTATGTTAAGCAAGCAACACAGCTATTTATGGAATATAAGACATTCTCCGAACAAAAAAAAAAAAAAAAAAAAAAAAAAAAAAATCCCTACCCTCCTAATTTTTTGGACCAATGTTTCCTGAACCAGACATTTTTTTTTTTTTGGCCTTGGGATTGCTTTTGGGTCTCATAGGATAGGGGTCAAGGTTATTGTTACTAAAAGTAGATAATCAATTTCTGATCAATAACTAAAGTTTGGAATGAGATGTTTTAATGACACTTGCTTTAAATTAAGCCTATGTGAAGACCTTGCTTAAGATAGCTTTTGGGCCCCCTAGGGTCAAGGTTATTGTTACTAAAAATAGAAAATTCATTATTTATGATTCACATAGTTACATTGTTTGTTATTTGTATTTGTTTTTGTATTTCAACTACAATGGATCTTTCTACAATGGTATTAATTGAAAACCTGGTTTCGTGGCATTGCCATGTTTCTTGTGTTTATCTTAAATAAGGTAATTAAGTTGTGATTTGGTTGTTTTTTTTTTACAAAGATATGTTTTGGAATAGACAATTTGGCATGGTCAGAATCTTACCAACAATAAAATATGTCATTGTCTTTTTACATTTATTGATAATATTTTGTATGAAATGTAGGAAACTGATAAAAAAATTAAATTTAGTTAGGTTAATCAAACACTTCTAAGAGGTTGCAAGGGGTTCTATTTACACATTGGTTTAAGTGTGGTGTATGTGTATATTTCATGAAGTGTGTTGCGTCTATAATTTGGTAGGTGAGTAAATAAAGCGTGTATTGTTTTTCTTTGTTTTCTACCGAGTGATTTCACATCATTCATCCCATCATGTTCAAATCAGTGTATAACAACACTCATTGTTTCTGCAGTCCCAACATTTTGAATGTATAGTTTGTGTTGAACATATCTTCCCTTGCTGATATGTTAGTTATGAAGTTGAACTGCCCTCTGTTACTTTATTTAAGGGATTACAGTATCAAATTCTGAAGCTAAATTATATTGCACTTGGTCAGACACAGAAAGGTTTTTGGTACTTTGTTAAATGGTTTAAATATTAAAATACTGTAAGTGAAATACCAAGTTTATATTCAGACAAGCTTGGCTCTATACACTTGTGACAAATGCAAGTTTGTTTTTTCTTACCTAGCATTAAGTAGAATCTTGTAAAAGCATGTCCTGATGAAATCCACACCCATACTTCTTTACCTGCATGTCATTTAACTGATTAAGCTGATAAGAACAAGTTGTGTTTTTCTGTTTGTGCCCACACCAGCATCATCATTTTGGTCAAGTTATTTGTGTACTTCCCTACATGTCTACCGACCCCATTGATAATTAAATTTGAAACTTGGAATACCTGTTGATGGCTCTTAGCCTCACATTGAGTATACATAATTAATTATGTCCCTTTTCTATGCAAAAATATACTTAAATACGCTGGTTAGTAGACAGTTGTGTTTTTTATGCCACCGCAGCATCTGCGATGCGGTGGCATATAGCGATTCACCTGTGTGTGTGTGTGTGTGTGTGTTTGTTTGTGTGTGTGTGTGTGTGTGTGTTATATAGATTATATAGTGAATTAAAAAAATCTTCTTGTGAAAAACCACTAGTCCAATTTCAACTAAACTTGGCAGGATTGATCCTTGGGTGAAGGGCTTCCAAAGTTGTTCAAAGAATTTCATTCCATGCAGAAATCTGGTTGCCATGGCAACCAAAAGGAATTATAAGAATAAATTTAAAAAATCTTCTTGTAAAGACCCAAAAGGCCTAGAGCTTAGATATTTTGCATAAGGCATTGTCTGGTAGACCTCTACCAAGATTGTTCAAATTACAGCCCTGGGGTCAAAATCGGCCCCGCCCCTGGGGTCATTGATTTTCACTATATGTACATATAGTAAAAACTTAAAATAACTTCTTGTAAAGACCCAAAAGGCCTAGAGCTTAGATATTTTACATAAGGCATTGTCTGGTAGACCCTTATCAAGATTGTTCAAATTATAGCCCTGGGGTCAAAATCGGCCTGCCCCGGGGTCATTGATTTTCACTATATGTACATATAGTAAAAACTTAAAATAACTTCTTGTAAAGACCCAAAAGGCCTAGAGCTTAGATATTTTACATAAGGCATTGTCTGGTAGACCCTTATCAAGATAGTTCAAATTATAGCCCTGGGGTCAAAATCGGCCCCGCCCCGGGGGTCATTGATTTTCACTACATGTACATATAGTAAAAACTTAAAATAACTTCTTGTAAAGACCCAAAAGGCCTAGAGCTTAGATATTTTACATAAGGCATTGTCTGGTAGACCCTTATCAAGATTGTTCAAATTACAGCCCTGGGGTCAAAATCGGCCTGCCCCGGGGTCATTGATTTTCACTATATGTACATATCGTAAAAACTTAAAATACCTTCTTGTAAAAACCCAAAAGGCCTAAAGCTTAGATATTTTGCATAAGGCATTGTCTGGTAGACCTCTACCCAGATTGTTCAAATTATAGCCCTGGGGTCAAAATCGGCCCCGCCCCGGGGGTCATTGGTTTTCCTTTTATGTATATAGTAAAAACTTATAGTAAAACTTTAAAAAAATTCTTCTAGCAATTGACAAATGCTAAAGGTTAGATATTTTGCATGAAACATTGAGAAGTGAACTTCTAGCAAGATTGTTCAAATTAAAGCCCTTGGGTCAAAATTGCCCACGCCCCGGGGGTCATTGATTTTCAATATATACA